TTTTCTTTTTTTATTTTTTTTTTCATTTAAACAATATAAATAATATGGTCACAAAATTTTTTTTCATTTAATTTTCCTCGTAATGCTATTGATATATGTCGTAAGTGATTGGTTTACTTAAATTATAAAGATCCGGAATTTTAAAAAAATGAATTTATAATTTAAATGTATAAACGATTAATAGAGTTATAGTTTACATTTCTTACATAATAATTTATAATGCTCAATAGGACCACGAAAATGTCATTTCTAAAAGATAAACAGTAATTAAAGAAATAAAAATGAAAGCGAATAAATAAGTATCATATGACAACTTTCACTAGCAATTAAAAGGAGTTCGGGTGGTGAACTACTCACAACTCTCTTATTGATTGAGATTTGGATCTTGATTTTTTTGATCTAAAATAGTTAATGAAAGAGTGAGGAATACTAGTCCAGTAAGAATATTACACTAATCACATATATGAAAAATTGAATATTGATAAAAATTATAAAATAACTAATTAAACTCTTAATTTGAGTAAATTCATTTAATATAAAGAAAACTGTTTATTTTGTACTTACCGTAACGAGTTTTTCAAAAACAACATATAAAGTTTCGTATTCGTACAACTTTTTATTTTCACGCATAAGAGAGTAAGAGACAATAACTTTCATTTCTTTTAGTACCCCTGAGGGTCTATAGGAATGTCATCTGCTGGTGAACCCAATATCTAATTTAAACAATTAACTGGTCGTCCCCATACCCCGTCCGATAATGAGTGTCAAACATTCCATCGTCTTGATACCCCATCCTGTATGAAGGTGAACCATATCTCCCAAACTTTTCAGTAAGGAACTTTCTAGTCACATTCGACTAACGTAATGTTCACGGTAGGGTTCCTTATATATCAGGTCCCTCTACCCTTTCCCTAGGTACCCAATAAATATTTTACATAAAAATTTCCATCAACAAAGCAATAAACCACGCATACCACTACCTCATATTACATTTATAAATCAATTAAACTACATTCATACTGACGGTATATAACCGAATAAACAGATAAATCGATAAGGATGTAGAAAATATAAATTCAGAACATACACCATATAATAACAAACAAAGAGAGTAGTACAAGAAAATAAATAAATAATAAGGACAATCCTGAATTAACCAATTTCGGCCATATTAGTGACCTATAGTTATTTTTAGCATTTTTAAATTTTTCATAAAAATACGAAATTATACATCATTGAGCCGCAGTTTACTGTAATGGAGAATAAAATGATGGATTCTTACCCGAATCGGTGTTTTGAGATATCGCACTATCTACTACACCTCCTAATGGGTACTAGATTTCCTGAATTTTTCATGTAAAAATCTAAAACACTTGTCACATACCTAAAAATACTCCAAAATCTAAAATTGGTGTCCAAAACTCTTTTCGGTCAATTTTTGGTTCCAGTATGGCAGCGATGTCGTTCTCCAGCGCCGGCTCCACTGCCCACGGTGGTGGTTCACCTTAATCTGATTGATTTTGACCAGCTTTGCATGTATCCCTGTAGAAAAATACATTAGGGGGCTCAGTTAAGTGAAAATCATAAAAACCGAACCTATCGACAGGGGGACCTCCAGGTACGACGGCTCTGCCAGTCTTCATTCGCCGCTGAGATTCTTTTTTTGGTTAACCTGAACAGAAAAAGATAGTGAATACAATGACTAAAAAATCGTATGAAATGGGAAGCGAAAAGCTGCTCATCAGAGGAATTTTTGGGTTTTGACTGCAGTGGTTTCACCGGACTTTGTCCGCGATTTCTGGCTCACCCACCGTCCTTCTTACTTCTATTTTGCCACAGAGATGCTTGGAATCAAATTTCGAGCGGGTAGGGAGAAGTTTTACCTTTTTTGCGGCTAACGGTGGCTCTAGTGCAGCGGCAGTCGGCAGTCGGCAGTTGGCGGTCGACCTTCTTCTTCGGTGCTTGATTCTTCTTTTTCGGCGGGGACTGGCAGCTAAGATTTGGGTTTCCATGTGACACAAAGTATTTATACCCATCCCGCTTTAATCTAGACCGTTCATCACGATTAATCTTGTCCGTCCGATCTCACTTAAGAAGAAAACGAATCTGAACCGTTCATCGTAATTGATCTTGTCCATCCAAACGCGCCTAAGGGAGGAATGAATATGAGTCGTCTATGCACATGGAATCAATCCTGGGTCGCCCGATCATTAGACATGTGGATCGCCTGCGTGGCCTTCCATATGGCATCGACATCAGTGTGTCTTGCCACGCGG